CAGAAAGAAAAGTCCAGCATAAGCAGAAAGAAGGGAACAATAAATATCTGAGCAGAAATAAACGGCATAGAGACAAAAAAAAAAATACAAAAGATCAACAGAACCATGAGCTGGTTCTTTGAAAGGATAAACAAGATTGATGACCCTCTAGCCAGGCTCACCAAGAAACAAAGAGAGAGGACCCAAATAAACAAAATCAGAAATGAATGAGGTGAAGTAAAAAAATACTATGAACAACTCTACTCCAACAAACTGGACAACCTAGACGAAATGGACATATTCTTAGAAAAATAAACCATGAAAAAAATATGATTAAATAGAAAATACTTTATACATACAGTTCATAATATAACATGCTAACTTGATGTTACTTTAATTCTCTGATCCAAATAAATTTACTAAGAACTATAAAACATCTTGAAAAAAATTTAAAAGCATAACTATAACAAAAAATATTTCCCATAATAACATATGAAAGAAGGGTAGACCAGTGATGTCTTTTGACAGTCTTATAAGCTTCTATTTTGGGTGCCAGAGAAATTAAAAAGAGACATGTGCAATTAATAGGCTTAATGATGGTGATTCTTTCAAACTGGATATTAACTATAAGATTCCCCTTTTCCCCATTTTATTTCTATCTTTGCCATTTGAAACTTTTTTTTAATCTAAATCTATTTAGCAGTACCCTCCATCTATGGATTAATCATCTGTGAATAACAAAAAGTAGCATTAAATGTTCTTTTTCCAAGTCAAGTGCACCTTCCTTTCTAGTATCTTTAGTTGCTTGTCACAGATCATTTTTAGAGTCCACATAATCACCACGGGGTGGCCATCAATCCTCAGTGCCTGACCTTTTCCCTCGGCAGACTAATGACCATTTAGTTCACTCGGTCCTCACGACAGAAATGACTCTGTGGAATATTTCACTGGCTGTGCTAGTGGACATTTATCTCAATCCCTAGCTTTCCCGTCCTCTGTAATAGCAACTGTGAAGTGCTTTTAGCTTTCTGTGGTAGCAAGATAACTTCTTACACCAAACGGTTTTGTCTTCTGATATCAAGTATCTCTCCCTATCGGGCATCACCTCTCGAATATTCATCCAGCCTCTTATTCAGCTGGTATTCCTGTTTAAGTCTTATAATGTGTAAATATAGTCTTGCTACTCCAAGTGTGGTCCATGAACAGCAGCACCAGCATCACGTATGAGCTTTTAAGAAAAGCAGTATTTCAGGGCCTACCCCGGGTCTATTTAATCTAAGCCTGTATTTGAACCAGACTCTCTAAGCCATTTGTGCATACATTAAAATTTGAGGCCCTGGCCAGGTAGCTCAGTTTATTAGAATGTCGTCCTGATACGCCAAGGTTGCTGGTTCAATCGCCAGTCAGGGCACATACAAGAAGCAACTAGTGAATGCATAAATAAGTGAAACAACAAATCTCCCTTTCTCTGTCTCTGTCTCTCGCTCTCTCTCTAAGCAATTAATAAAAATTTAAAATAAATAAATAAAATTTGAGAAGTGCTGGTCTACAGTATAAACTTCTCGTTGTCATGGAGCTCCCACTGAAATCCACAATGTCTGAAAAAGAAGACAGTGATCTGCTCAGATCATCAGTACTTATCTCCAAACTGGTAGTTGTACTTCCCTTAACTGGGAACATTCAGATTGTTCAGGGTTAAATCTTCCATTTTTCTACATTTCTTTCTAAGTCACAAAATCCCTACCTAAGTACAATTTAAATGACGAGGTACACTTTCATTACTCCTCATCCTCCAGCACACACAAGCATCACTTCGACAAAGCCCTCCCTGACCCCGAAGCAAAACTAGTTACCCGATTATATGCTCACATCACATGCTGTGCCGTAAGAATAGTTAATCAAAGTTATAATTAAATAATATTCTGTGTAATTAGCAGTTTAAATGTAAAGTCCACAAGAGCAGAGGAGCTGCCCATTTTGTTCCCTGCTTTATTCTTAGCGCCCAGCACAGTACCATGCACGCTGCAGGAGCTTAACAAATACTTGTTGAACAACTGATCTGCAACGCACAGAGTGTTTAGAACTGCCATAGGGCTTTTATCAAAGTGCACTTACAATGAAGGTAGAGGGAGAGATGATGCATAGGTGACTGGGAAGGGTGCCTAACAAAGCAACATGAACACAGATAACAAATACAGATTCTGCCTGAAGGATTACCAAGCACCTGCTACCAATCTACTCTGCTTATTCTTCTTTAGGAAGAAATGAATCTAATCGGCCTTGCTCTGGATGCCGAACTATCACTCTAGTTGGCCTACCTGCCACTGGTTCTGACTAAGTAGGGGTTCTCAAAGTGTCTTCTATTAATCCTGACGTTAAAGAAATCTACAAAAATATAAAACATTACTCTTCTCATGGATTTGTTATTGTTATTTTTATATAAACTAATAATTGTTTTACATTTTTGTCTTAATTTTTAATACAGTAAAATGGTGGACTGCAGAAAGTTGTGTCTGAGCCTCCAGATGAATTGGACTAAAACTAGTGCTGCATTTTGCAACCACATCCTTGTGTAAAATCCAGAAAAGAGAAGCAGCCTGAGAAGACCTAAGCTATTCCATATTTCTCTTTTCTATTTTAAGCCTCCGGCAGACTGCAAAGAGAACCTTTCTAGAGTCAATTACACATTTACACACACATACACATAAACTCATACATATACATACAATATATATGACAACAAATCTATCAGTGTGAAGTATGTCCAATTTAAAAGGAAAAATAAACCTAGAATGGATCACTATAAAAGGTTTTAACAATTGTGTGGTATAGTACTTTTATAAAAGATTATGTAGACTACAGAGATATCAAGGACAGGTATTATAACCTAATGCAACTGGACAATTTCTGCTTCAAAAATACTTTCAACAGTGTGAACTCCATGGGGTTTGGGATGGAGAGAGGTTAAGAAATACATCAAGAGAAATAAAACAACCCACAGGCTCTAAAAAACTATGTTAATTTTGTATAAGTATCAGAAATTTCATAAAGTATTATGAGTCACATCTTCAATACCCAACCACACCTTCACTTATATCACACTTGTAACTTTTCCAAATGCTTTCATAGTATCTCATTTTATCCTGACAACTGTGAAACAGGAAGGGTAGTTATTACCATTTATAGGAAAGAAGCCTGAGAAACAGGGACCTCCCAGGCTGGAG